AAAAAAAAAATAAACTTATCTTTGATTTGAGAGAGAGGGAGGGAGAGGGAGAGAGAAATTGAAACATCAATGATGAGAGTTACTGATCGGCTGCCTCCTGCACGGCCCCTGCTGGGGATCGAGCCCACAACCCAGGCCTGTGCCCTGACCCGGGAATCGAACCGCAATCGCCTGGATCCAGGGTCGACGCTCAACCTCTGAGCCATGCAGGCTGGGCACATAAAAGATTTTTCTTTAAATCTTTTGCCAAGTTTACATGACATGTTACTTTACCCCCATTTTCTTTACTCCAACGACTTAATAAGTAACCCGAGAGGCGATGGAATTGAGGCCACCTCGGGAACGGACTGGAACCTTACTGAAAAGCTGTGGCGGGCGGCGCCCCTCCTGCCGTTGGGGTTTCTCTGTGTCAGGGACCCTCGGTACACCGATTTCCGATCGAAGGACTCGTCACCTTGGCCTTCGGGGGAAACAGGGGTGCGCTTACTAATCACACACTCACCCCAAACAAGCGTCTTTGCCGCCTAAGACATGAACAAAGTAGCATGAAAACGGCCGTATCCCTGCTGAGAAGTTTTCTCAGCACGAAATAGTTTCAGCAAAGCAGCCACATTTTCGCAGCTGTGCGAATAAGCGGTTAAGGCTGAGCCTCTCTCCCTGGCTCTGGAGCGGGCATGAAAATCCTACCTTCCGGGCCCCAGAAATGCCCAAGTGGGCAAAGCAATAGAAAGGCCCCTGCACTAGGGGGGGGTCCAGCCGCTCCCCTCCTTCACTTCTGTGACACGACAGTGGCCCGAGGGGCTGGGGCCTCTGACCCTCAGGGAGGGTCTCTCCTGGGGCTCTGTTGTGAATCAATCACACCGGGGTGTCCTTCAGGCTCAGGGGGAGTTGCTGCATCCCACAGACAACGTGGAAACTCAGAGCCTCACTTCCACGGCCCGGAGCTTGTCCCCAGCCCTGGGGGAGGAGGGATGCAGGTGACTCTTACCTGGACTTTCAGGGGAATCACTGAACTTCCTCCTCAGCAGGTGGGGCACGGCCATCACCTGGAGGAAGGAGACATCTCTGGGATTCACTCGACTGTAACTTTTAGAAGCACTGGAGCTAATTCTGGGCTCATAATCCTCCCAGAGTCTAATTAAGCAGGGGGGCGCTTCTGCTCTTTGCGATATTTGAACTATTAACAGTATTAAGTCGCACTTTGTCAATCAATTAAGCACCAAGTGCCAGAATGTAAACGATGCTTCGCTTTGGGGGAGCTGCCGACTTTGGGCGACGGGGGCTGTGAGGGTTCCTCCCGCCTCCCCCTCGGCTCCGTGAGGCCCCGACCCGAGGCCGGCCCAGCGCTCCACCCCCGGGGGCTGCCCTGCTCTGGGGAGGGGGTGTCGGCCGTCTGCTCTTTGTCTGGCCTTCAGGAGGGGGAGGGAGCCACACACCTCGGCCCCACCCGAAGGGCCTGCAGGCGGATCCTCGGGGCTCTGGGCTGATTTCCCAGCAAGTCGGGGGAGAAATATCTGGAAAACAAGGAAGAAGTCTGCATGTTATCACTGCCCCGCGTGACCTCCGGCCACCGGGCCAGCTGGACACAGGGCGGACGTGCTCTCTCAGCGCTCACTCAGGACAGCAGGGCAGCACCCGCCGGGCCCACGGCTCCGGGCTCTGGGCCCTGGGCGGCCAGGTCAGCAAATTAAACTACAGAACGCCTGCCCCGGCCGGGGCCTCCGCTGGCTGGGCATCGCCCTGGCACCAAAAGGTCACAGGTTTGACTCCCAGCCAGGGCACATGCCTGGGGCTGCAGGCTCGACCTACCGTGGGGGGGAGGGGAGGCAGCCGACCTACTCTCACATCGATCTCTGTCTCCCTCTCCCTCTCTCTCAATAAAACTATTTAAAAAACACGGACGCCCAGTTTGCTCTGAATTCCAGATGAACCACCAATCAATCCCTAGTGTGTGTCCCAGTCCTTCACGGAGGCACTGACGCTGGGAAATGATGTGTCGTCTACGTGACCTTCAGCTTTAACCGTGGCCTGTATTTTACCTGGTGGCCCCACCGGGGACTCTCCCGGCCAGGTTTCCTTACCAGTGTGATTTTGTCTGAACACCCTCGATGTGACTCCGGAGAGAAGGGTGCTGTGGGGGCCCCTCCCGCCAGCCTGTCCTAGTCACACCCACGTTGAGCAGTAAGCTGCCAACCAGACGTGTCCACGTTCAGGTGCCTTCTCCGCACTTTAAACTGCGGGCACCTGGTCTGTCTCCAGCCCTCACGGGAGCTGAGGGTCCCTCAAGAGCACTTTCTCCAGTTAAACAAACGAACAGTCAATGAAAAAGGCCCCCCCAGGGCCCAGGCCACCGATGGCTGTCAGGACACTGAGGCTGGCACTTCAAGGAGCGGGAAGATGACCGGCCTGGGGCTCTTGGTTTCAGGCCCTTGGTGGCCCTGTGGTCCTGGCCATGAGTCCGGGCACCCAGCCCCTGGGTGCTGCGGCCTCATCCACTCACCGGGAGCCTTGACCTCCTCCGGGGCTTCCCCGAGGGCCCCACGGTGAGCCCAGCAGCCCGCAAGGCTGCGATCCTGGCCTCGATTTCTGACACCTGGGGGAACAGTGAGAGCAGACAGACGTCACCCAGGTGTCCCACCTCAGCGTCACAGTGCTGGATGGGCGGCTGCCCTTTTTCACCAACTTTGTGCTTTCCCTTAAGATTGGGGTGCCCCCCGATGCAGTTCCTGCGGGTCCCAGTTCACGCAGGTGCCATGGTGTTGGGAGGGGCTGGGTCACCCCCGGGGGGAGTGAGTCTGAAGGGCAGACCCTCTCTTCTCTGTGGGTCCCCAGCATGGGGCCTGGCTCTGTCCCCTTTTGCGCACCACCGATACCCCCACCTCCACACTAGAGCTCTGGGCCCTCGCTCCGGCCACGCTCCTCCGGCCAGAGCCTGGTCCTGAGCCCCGGGCTGTCCTAAAATCTCAGCTGCTTCTAGAGAAGCCCCTCTGCCCCCCACGGGCAGGGCATGGGGAGCACCAGCATCTTTCTCTGGTGGCTACAAGCCCCGCCCGCCCCTCACGCAGCGAACAGGAAAGGACAGGGGTGAGGTCGGGTGGCACGTGCGATTCCCACAGGGACCCCAAGCTCCTGTCCTGTGTGAGGGGTTGGGGGGACCCTCCCCTGTGTCAGACCTTCAGGCCCCACCTCTGTCTATCTTGGGGGGCCGCCTGCTGCCCGAGGCCTGGGGCTACCTCGCTCTCCGCCTGCTGAACCTCCGAGGCCGTCACGGCCACCCTGTCCTCCAGCTCCGACAGCGCCTCGCCCGGGGTCCTGGGGGCCTCGGCGGGATCCTGAGGGCCCGGGGGGCTCTTCTCCCATCTGTGCGCTTGGCCTGCAGACGTGCTCACCTGGGGCAGGGAAGTACCGACCGTGACCACAGGCAGGAGAGGCTGCAGGTTCTCGGCAGCGAGGGCGCATCCTACGGTCCATTTCTCCGCTGCTGGAGCTGGGCGGCCAGGCGGTCAGCCAGGGGCTGGGCACCCCGTGGGGCCCTCGTCAGGACCCCTCAGTGACCACGAGGGGTTGGCTGCCTGCCCGGGGCTGGGCTGCCAGCTTAGCTACAACCCGTCGCCCCCTGACCCCACCTCTGCCTGTGTCCTGCCGAGACGGAGGGGGCGGCCTTACCTCTGGGGTCATCCCGGGGGGGTCCTCCGAGCGGGCGCTCCTGCCCCGCGCCCGCCCTGTGTCCTTGCCCTCCTCCTCGGACGAGGCGTCCTGGTCACTGACGTGGCCGGTCAGCTCCTCCAGCTTCCTCCTCAGGGCCTCTTCTTCCACGTCGGCGCCCGTGGGCTCGCCGGCACCGGGACACTGAGTGAGCAAGGCGGCGGGCCTGGGTCAGCGGCCAGCTGTGAGCACTGTGCCCTGAGGCGGGGCTGTGGGGGGCACCCCTCCTGAGCACACCCGGGGTCCCTGCTGGAACCGGGGCTCCGTCCCTTCTCCGCGTGAGCTCGTCCAAAGCACCCACACTCGGCCCAGTCCCGGCCTCCGGAGGGTGGGTCACTCCCCGTGATTCTGACAGCACCAGGACTGTCAAAAACCCACCATTTATTCATTTATAAGTTTATTCTTAATTATAGTTTATGTACAATATTATGTTAGTTTCATGTGTACAATATAGTGACTTAACATTTACCTATTTCACAAAGTGACCACAATAGGCTGGTCCCCACCTGCCACCACACACAGCAGGAAGTTACTGCCCCCATTCCCGGTGTCGGGCGTTACATGCACGCGACTCATGTCATAGCTGGAAGTTTGTGCCTCTCGACCTCCCTTCCCTTGCCCAGCCCCTCTCTCCTCCTTATTTTGCTCATTTGTTCTTTTTTTAGATTTCACATGTCAGTGAAATCACGTAGTATTTGTCTTTCTCTGTATATTTTAAAAATATTGTTATTGATTTTTAGAGAGAGAGGAAGGGAGAGGGAGAGAGGAAAGTCACGGGGCGCCTCCCGCGTGCCCCCGACTGGGATGGAGCCAGAGCCCAGGCACGGGCCCTGACCGGGAATTGAACCGGCAACTTTCCGGTGCACAGGACACCCGACCAGCTGAGCCACGCCGGCCAGAGCTCTCGGCCGGACTCAGCCCAGTGCCCCCCGCGTCCACCCACGTCGCCGGAAGTGGCCAGGTTTCAGTCTTTTTTACGGCCGAGCCATGGTGCACGTGTCCCATCTCCCCGTCACCCACTCGCCNAGTGGCCAGGTTTCAGTCTTTTTTACGGCCGAGCCATGGTGCACGTGTCCCGTCTCCCCGTCACCCACTCGCCCGCCCCTGNGTCGCCGGAAGTGGCCAGGTTTCAGTCTTTTTTACGGCCGAGCCATGGTGCACGTGTCCCATCTCCCCGTCACCCACTCGCCGGCACCTGGGCGGCTTCCAGATCTTGGCTGCTGTAAATATTGTGCTGTGAGCAGGGGGGCCTGTATCCTCACTAATTATTTCTTCAGCTTGTGCTTTGTTGGCGCCTCAGCCTCCATTAACAAAGGGGCTCGGGCCCCATCCCCAGCTGGGTCAGCGGACGTCCTGCCGCCGACACGTGCTCGCTCATCTCAGAATCCCGAAGCGGGAGGACCGGCGCGGGGGCCGGGACGCAGCACCCACCCCCTGGGGAGCACCCAGCGCCCAGGCCGTGAATGGAAATCAAAGGCCGCCACCCGGGCCAGGCCCGGGGAGGGACTGTGACGCCCCTCTCCTCCCACCAGGGGCTCCGGGGCACCCAGCAGAAGCTGGGAGCACACACCGGGACATGAACGAGGCAGGAGGGGTGACACATTCACCAAGACAAGGAAGCCGGGCCTGAGGGGCAGGTGGCATGTCGTGCTCGGGGGCAGCCACTGTCCCCACGAGCACAGGAAGGCGCGAGTTAACCACGCCAGGCTGATGAAAAGGAAACGCATTATCTGCCGAGAGCCTCGGGTCACTCGGGGGCCAGGAGACGCGCCAGGCGACCACTTGAAGCGACTAAACCTACAACCTGCTCATCCCTGAGTCACCAGAAGCTATTAGCTCCCAGACGGGGACATGAGGAAATCGATTCGCGCTCAGTTTGCTCCGAGCCCGGGGGGGCAGCCTTCCTGCCATTATCCTCTCGGGGCTCACCTGGTCTCAGAGGAGGGACGTGGCCCTCAGGTGGCGAGATGCTCGGCATTGTTCGGGCGGTAATTAGTTTATCCTCATGGCCCTGGGCCGGCAGATCTGCCCAAAGAGGAGGGGCGCTGGGAAAGGTCACCGCGAGGGTGTCGCTCTGGCGGCGCTCTGGAGTGGCCGCCGGTAGCTGAGACCACCTCTGGTCACACTCAGAGTCTAAAGGACAGCGATCGATACCCTTGGGGACAGAGCCCAGCAGACGGCCTTGTGCCCCGAGGAGTCAGGATGCCTGGCTGCCCCTTCAGGCTGGAGAGGAAGAGCCCGGCCCCACCAGAGCCAGACAGTGTCACTGGGAAATGTCACGTCCAGAGCAAAAAAGGAAGGAAAACTTCCACGATGAGAACTTGGGCCTTTCCCACCCGGGTGGGGCAGGCGGCTGGATCTGGGGGCGGTACAGGGCCCTGGGACGGTGGCTGGCACCGGCCGGCAGGTGAGCGGGGGGCTCGGGGTGGCGCCCCGAGCAAGGCCAGGGTGGGGCACCATGCGCACGACCGATGTAACACAGCCCTGGTTTCTGTCTGGTATCGGGAGCTGCTGATCAGATGCCCCCATGGGACGCCTGCTTCTGGGTGCCCAGGAGCCACCTCCACGGAGCTGGCTGTGCCCAAGGTGGCACCTGCTGTGGGGGTGGCGCCTGACCCTGCGTGAGCCCCAACTGTCAGGGTCGTCACGCTACTGGACTCGTAGGGACGTCAAACTCAGCGTGAACGGGTGCTTTCAACTCGAGTGCAAAATTTAACAAACCCCAAATTAACAGTTTACAAGCTCAACACTGAGAGCCGTGCATCGAAATGAACGACTGTAATCTGGCGCTGGTGAGGCTCCTCTGGGGAAACCGAGTCAGGTCACCAGCCTGAGCACAGCACCAACATCCCCGGGGGCCGGGTCTCGGGAGAGGGAGCTCATTTCCCCTGTAGTGAGGGGTACGTGCCGGGGCTCCCTTTCCTGCTCCCCCAGCCCCGTGGAAGTGGCCGGCATGGGGTGTGCTGGGCCACCTTGGGCCTCTCTTGGCAGGAGCGATTATTTATAGAAAGTCTTTCCTGAACATTCTTCACCCAGATAGTCCTAACCGCGGGTACAAAGCAGGGACAGGGGACGGGACAGGAGGACCATTCAGATTCGTCCCAATAAAACGCTGCTCTCGAGAACTCCGGGCGCGTGCAGGAGGCAAGGAATGGATGTGTCTCTCACATCAGTGCTTCCCCCCCCCCACTTTCTCTGAAAAGCAACGGAAGAAATACCCTCCGGTGAGGATTAAAAAATGAACAAACAAAAAACCCACAAAGAAAACCATTATGCTCAGTGACAGAAGCCGGTCACAAAACGTCACACATTGTATGACTCCAGGATCGTGTTAGATGAACGTCCAGAACAGGCGAGTCCACTGAGACAGAGGCGGGCGTGTGTGTGTGTGTGTGTGTGTGTGAGAGAGAGAGAGAAAGAGAGAGAGAGAGAGGGAGGGAGGGAGACACAGGGCCCGGCTGGGGCCAGGCAGTGGCTGCCGACGCCTGGAGCTTCCCCTGGGGTGGTGAAGGCCGTTGGGACCCACAGAGGCCGTGACTGCACAGCCCTGTGGACGTACTAACCATGACTGCCCTGCTCAGGTGAAAGTGGTTATTCTGACACCGAATTTCACTCTGATAAAAAAACATGTGCCCGGCCAGCGTGGCTCAGCGGTTGAGCATCAACCTAGGATCCAGGAGATCCGGGTTCGATTCCCTCAGGGCACAGGCCCGGGTTGCGGGCAGGAGGCAGCCGATCCATGACTCTCATCATCAATGTTTCTCTCTCTCTCTCCTTTCCTCTCTCTGAAATCAATAAAAACATATTTTTTAAAAAAAGTGTATTTTGACAACATTGCTCATCTCTGTTAAGTTGCTTGTGCAGCCTCATAGCTTTAAAACATGGAAAGTGTAGTTTCTCTGATAGGACCTGGCTCCCACAAAGACNCTCTCCTTTCCTCTCTCTGAAATCAATAAAAACATATTTTTTAAAAAAAGTGTATTTTGACAACATTGCTCATCTCTGTTAAGTTGCTTGTGCAGCCTCATAGCTTTAAAACATGGAAAGTGTAGTTTCTCTGATATGACCTGGCATCCAGGTGAGAGGCCCCCCCAAAGGCTACCAGAAGGGGTCCTCCTGGCCACGGTACCTGGCTCTCCGGCGAGGCCCAGCCCCGGTGATGGGAACGGTGGGAGGCCGCCCCGTGGGCCCGAGTGCCCTCTTCGTCAGAGGTGTCCACGTCCACCAGGTACCGGGAGGCGAGCTGCTCATTCCCGACGACGTTCACCCCTGTGGAGGGACAGATGGCTCGGATTATTTGGGGTGAAAGACTGACAGCCAGTGGTCATGTTTTTCCAATTAAAAATGAGACATCAAAGGAAACAAAGACATGGTTATGTGCTCGGTGTTACCAGGCTGAGAATAATCCACACGAGGAACCTCGGGAAACAGGCAGCCCTGGCGCTCCCTGTGGGCCTGGGTGGGGTGAAAGCCACGCAGCAAGGCGAATGCCACGTAATTGCACCGCCCCGAGTTCCACGTGCGTGGGGTGTGGCAGACGTGGGTCTTGGAGTTTCCACACGTGGAGATGACTTTAGGAAGTATTTCCACGCTGCTCACCGTGGGCTGTTTTTGTGCCAGAACAGTGACGGGCAGACTCGGGGGAGCGTGAGTCACCAGCAATGTGGCTTGAAATGCTCACTCCTCGGCCACAGTGGGGAAAGCTCTCTATCCCCACGTCCTCACTGATAAGTGCCCACCACCCACAGCCACGTGGCAGGTGGGGGAGGAGCCTTCGGGGCTGAGCCCACATGGAAGGCGCTGCACCTGCGACGCGCATGAGACAGTCACGTGTGCACGAGCCACGTGAGGTGGCCGACAGCCTGGATGAGCCTGGGAGACGGGCCTAGTGCCAGGTGAGGCTCCAGCCCTGGCGACACTGGCTTCAGCCTGGGGGACCCGGTGCTGAGGACCAGTTAAGCCAGGCCCGGACTCCTGGCCACAGTCAGATACCAAACGTGTGTTGCTTTAAGCTGATACGTTTGTGATCATTTGTTACCAGCAGAGTTAACAGGTCCGACCATCTCGCTTAATGGCCACCTGGTGGGATGAGTCGGGCATCGCAACGCTTTGGCAGCGAGGAAACAGGCCCGGGGGTTAGCGGCGTGGCTGTGTCCCATCAAATCCAGACACGTAGCCTGTCTGCGCTATTAGGAAACCAGTAACACCACCCAGCACCCCCCCGCCTTTCTCCCCAAGCTCCCTGTGACACCCTCCCGACGTAAAGATGGGGTGAAAGTGCCTTAGGTGGGGAGTCGGTCTGCAGAGCGGGGCCTGACTCAGAGCCCCGGGTCTCCCGGTGCCTTTTCTCAGCGGGATACAGTCTCTCCTGCCTCTCCCAGCTTGTCCCTCAGCCCCACCCGCCACCGAGCCCACGCCCGGGTGGCCAGGGACCACGGGAGGAAATGAGTGGGTGCCGTCTGGCTGCTCAGTCAATGCGGATTCATTTACTCCTTGCTCAGGGGAGGTAGAGCCCGCCGCCCCCGCCCAGTGCCTCCAGGGTCCTGACGGGCGTGCGGGTCCTGAGATTAAGTCTGTAACATAATGAAAACGGAGAATGAAAGTGGACCCACGGCGGCTTAACCACATTTCGCAGCCGCTTAGGGGGAGGCTGTGCTGCCTGTGATCTTATTTGCTCGGACGTCAGCGGGAGCCTGACTCCGACCAGCGCGCACTCCTGAAGGTGCGAGACGCTGCTTGGGGGTTTCATTAGGAAGCAAGCTGTCTGGCGACAGATTCAGCTGAGCAGATTGGGGTTCTCAGCACCTACAGATCCCCCGACTCACAGCTGGGAGCCCACGGGGGACCAGGCAGGGGCACCCCCACGGGACATGTACCGCTGGTGCCCAGGAGCGCCCTTGGTCCTCAGGGGTGGAGATGCCCTGTCCCTGTCAGGACGGCTGGTCCTGTGACCTCTGGTCTGTCAGCTCAGGAAGACCTGCGTGTCCCTGTCCTGCAACCACATTCTCTCTAAAGGTGGCAGTGAGTGTGTGGCCAGGTTGGGGGTCAGCGCTGGTTTCCTGAGTGTTGCGAGGGGGACAGGTATCCACGCGGTTCGCCAGGACTGCACTCGCCCGTCCATCACAGGGGAGGAGGGGCTGCTTTACATCAGCCAGTGTGTCCGCCCAGAAACCCCCTCCACATCTCCACCACGCAGGGCCCAGGTGGGGGACCGTGGCCGAGGGCACCTACCAGGCGTGGCAGCGATCCCCGGGGCAGCTGAGCAGGACTCTCCCAGCAGGCGGGGCTCAGCGCGGGCATCCTGTCCGGCAGGGCAGAGGCTGGCTGTCTGCTCGTCTGCGTGGGGGTGCCACCCAGAGGCCTGGGCATCAGCCTCCTGCAGGACCACGGCCTCCTCTGTGCGGGGCTCACCTGTAAGGGCCTGAGCACACAGGCCTGTCAACCACTGGTTTAGACTTGGGGACAGCTGAAGCTGGGTGTCACTCTGGGTCTTGTGCCCAAGCTGCCCTGTGCTTCAGGTGCCCTGTGGGTGATGGGCACAGCGCTAGTCCTGACAGTAATTGGTGAGATGGAGACTGTCACCCCTTCCAGGTGATGGGGGATGGAGCCTCGTGAAGAGTCCCCGGGCCAAGGTGACAAAGCTAAGGAGTGGAGTGACCCCATGTCCTGGCTCCTGGGGGGCCCCTGTGGATACCGTCTGTGCTGGGTGGTTATTAATGCAGCCTCTTCATGCAGGACTAGCCTAGTTCGGGCAACAAAGCCTCTGATCCCTGCTAATGAGACGGATGCCCAGACATGCCACACCCAGTCCGACTCCTGGGCGGATGTGGGTCCTCTGCCCACCCCCGAGTCACGGAGCTCTGCCTCGTTTCTGTGACAAGCACCCACCCGAACACCCGGACCCCTCACTCAACTGCCCTGCACCCCAAACGTCCATGCTGCCGGCTCAGCCTCTCCCGAGATCCTAGACCTTCGAGGGTGTGAAGTTTCTGGATCCTGTCCCCCACATGGGGCTCAGGTCATCCTGGGGGGGAGAGAAGGAACGACAGCCCACTGACCTGCAGGCTGCCCGGGGCCGGGGGGGCCGAGGACAGGCTCTGGGGGTGGCCACAGGATCCAGCGGAGTCGTCAGAGTCGGCCTCGAAGTCCAGGCTGTGAATGGGGAGGAGGCGCTTTTTCTTGGGGGGTGCAGGCTGGGCGAGAGGAGGGTGAGGGTCAGTGGACAGTGAGGACCAGACGCCTCTCGCCCTGGGGCAGGCAGTGGGGTGGGCACTGCAAACAAACCAGCTGACCCCCAGGTCCAAGGCCTCACGGGGGGTTCACCCAGAGTCCAGCCCATCCCTCCCCTCCAACCTGCTCCCCTACGGTCATTCCACCCAGAAACCCTGGGGCTTACTTTCTGTCTTTATCACCAAAAATAAATTTAAAAATAAGTGAAAGGAGAAACAAACACCAATTTTAAAAAGGCTCATGGTTGGCCCCAGAAAAAAGCTTGCAGAGGGGAGTCCAAGGGGTTTACTTTCTTGAAAGATTCAAAGACGGCCTTCGAGAACACTGTGTGCCCTCTGGGCCCCGCCTGCCCTCCGACTGTGCCCCAGGGACTGTGGCGGGACGGGCCAGGCAGGTCTAGGGGTCTAGGCAGCCTTCTCTGCAGCTCTTGCCCACCCACAGCTTGCGTGGGGTTTCCTACAGCGACCTCATGCTGAAAGTGCTCTCCTGTCTGGTGCTTAGCGACCTCAGCAAAGGGAGGCGCAGCCTTGGCCCTCAGGCCGTAGTGGAGGGACAGGTGGGCGAGCACTGAGGTCTTCAGGAAGTCAGAACCCAAGGCTGCAGCGGGGGAGCGGTGGGGTGGCTG